AGGAAAAATGAATGCTCCTTAAATCTCTTTTAAGACTATGGATTATAAGCACACTGAGCTAATATTGATGGTTTCCCTTAGGCTTTTTGATGCTACAAGGATCATGTGAATTGTAATCTAATCATGATTAGTTTTTCTGTCTTAATAATGATTAATGTGCATTCCCTGCTCTGTGTGATCTTTGTTTTTCTCTCCTTCACTTCTATTGAAAAGAGAAAGTGTGTGACTCATGTCTAGTACCAATCCCTTCACCTAACAGCAAAAGTCAAGTATTTTTCTTCTTACCCTTCAAAACTTTTATCATAATGTTAATCCTGCAGTGTCTGCAGATGGTACTTTAAACCAGTATATTTGTGGGTTTAAAAACTTAACAAATGGGTGCCCAGTTGGCAAAATGAAGAGTTACTGTGACTTAGAGATGATATGGAACTCCAGGAACACAATGCAAAACTAGGCTGCAGCTGAGCAATGCTAAGTGATGATAGTGCTGTTCACAATTGAATTAAACACACATCTGTCTGATTTCTCTGTGCATCTTCTTGACTACAAGCTATTTGCATGTCTGAAGATAGAGAGGAGGAAAACCACCTCTGGTACCCTATATTACATCGAGTCCTTATTAATATTTATGTCTAATGGCCTGCTAAAACTAATGAAAAATCATAATTTTTAAAGGCTTTTATGGTAAAAAGTACCAAGCAGAATTCAGTTAATTCATAACTTAGGTAACCTATGCCTTGACTACTGCACCACAGTTGTTTTTGCCAAATAAAGTAGGAATATATTTGAACTCCTGTGACCACCAGAGCTTATGAAGCCTGAGCAACGTTGCTGATTCTGTTAAAGAGAAGAATGTTCAGAGGATATATCTTTAAATATGAGAAATATTACACCTCTAATACTGGTTCTAAGATCTCCTACAGAGAGACTTAAGAGTGAGCAAGAATTAAATTCTCTTTTATTGGAATAGAAACATATGGAAGTAGCACAATTAAATCCCAGAAGACTGAGTATGAACAAGGATATTCTCCAGTAACAATACAAGACAAGGAATATGGAGAAAAATGGAAGATTCCATCATGATAATGTGATATAAACAGTTCAACAGATTAGATAGTAGAGAATGCCCCATCTGAAATCTTGCTTTGACCTTCTCAGTATGACATCTGTGGTTTATAAAGAGAAAATTAAGGGAAGAGCAAAGTTAAGACCGAAGAGCAAAGTTAAGACTGAGTTGTGAACATACACTAGAACGCATTACTCACCTGCTAAAACACATTATTGAATAAAAGCAGGGAAAGAATATATCTCATGAAAACATTTTAAAAATGTTTATACATTCGAAGAAAGTCAGAAATATTCTAAATGTTTCAAAGAATTCAACTAAGAATAATTAAATGAATGCAGGGAAATGCCAAGCATCAGAAAATGAAGACTTTATTATCAAATATTTTCTTAAGGGATGTAAGTTAAGCCTAACAGCATAAGAACACTGTGAATGCAGGTTGAATAACTGATTTATTAATTTGCACCCAGGCACTAGAAATCAACTTAAAACAAGGGTCCATGTTCAGTCTCACCTCAAAGATCTGCTGGAAAAAAATCCTCGTGTGCTTTCTTTCTTGCTTAAAGAGATGAAGAAATGATGGAAAGGGCAGGCACCACCCAGGTACCACTGGCTCCTCTCTATAAAGCTTGAGTAACAGCAAGACTGTGAAAAGCTGAGGAGCACCAACAGCACAAGAGCATTATACAGACTGGTATTATCCAGAAGGGAAAAATAGATATATTTTAAGAAATTGAAACAAGAGCTTGAAAAGGCCATGTGAAAATGCCAAGGTGACACAGATCATTAAAGTCTGAGAGTTTAACACAGACACACCTCTGACCCAAATATGTCCAGTTTCTCTAGTGGATCAACCTGATGGATAAGTGGAAAAATCCTTCTTGTACATTATCTGTCATAGGAATGGTGAAATATGTAACCTCCTACCTGACACTGAGTAAAGCTGTAACTTCTCTAAGTTTTTGACAATGGAAATGCTGAATTTAGTTACAGGTATAAAAAAGGATGAAAACGCTTCTGCAGTCTTTTGGTTCAGATATTGATGCTCTAATCCAGTTTTACAGAGTTCTAATTTGGCCTTTGGTGAAATTTAGGACATGTTACTTGTAGACTTCATCTCAGTTTCTAGAGATACTATTACCTACCTGGTAACTTATTTCACAAGGTATTTTGGTGATGTATTAGTCAGAATCTGAAAGAACTCATGTTAAAAGAGAGCATTTGAGAATATCTAACAGTAAGAGGTTAGGACTGATTTTTCTGATAATGGTTATTTTTTTACTTTGACATTTTACTTTTTATGGATGCAGCTGCTTATCAGTTATGTAAGATTAGTGATGTGATAACAGATATATTCTTCCTTTGCTTCTACGAGGTACATAAATAATAATTGCAATAAAAATATTTCCCAGCTGTGGAAGAAAATATTTCACAGGTTAAAGATAAAAGGTAACTTTTAACCTTTCTCCCTGTTCGTTCTCTTCCCAAAGGCTCTTATGACCTCCTGCATTTAATGGAAACACATCCCTATTGTGAGTTCTATTAAATACTTGGTTGTAAGTTGTTCTGTTCAGTATTTGCAGTTGATTTTGCTCAGGCTGAGAAAACTTGTTGATGTTTTCCCTTCAGGGTATGTCTTCTTGTCTGTGAGTGTTTCTATGTGTGTGTTACTCATCTGGAACTCAGGTTGTCAAGAACAATAATTAAAGTTAAAGGAACCGATGAGTTTGAACTGAAGTTGTTATTCTTTTAATATCTGCAAAAGCACCACCTGACAGTATTTCTAGAAGTGAGATTTAGTCTCACCACTATCCAACTCAGGGAATTAAAAAATGGCAAGTGCTACAAGATGTACTTTGTATAAGAAACAAAATCCAAAATCTCCTATTGTGTGCTAAATCTGTCATTATGTAAATTCAGTTCTCCATAATTCCATGAGAAAGAAAAAAAAACAACAACCCTAACTTTTATTTAAAGCCTCGGGATGTACCTATTAGCAAATCTCTGCTTTGCATTAGGGAGGCCAACTGAGAGTGCCCCAGTGGAAAGGAATTCTTATTTAATACAAAATGGTGACACTTGGTCCCAAACCATCTCTTTTAAAGGCAGTAATATGAGAAAAGAAGGAAATGTGAGAAAATACGATATTCCTCTCTTTCTTTATAGTAATTTTTACAGGAATAATCTTTTAGGACCATATCTTAGGGTATGTTAGAATGGTCTTTGCTAATTATTGCAGGGCTGGTGCAATTTGTGTATCAGAAAGCCATAATATTCCCATTTTCTTCTCAACTCATTCAGTGTGGCCTGGAATAGGAAAACAAGCTGAACTGAAGCCATAACTACTGTAGCAGAGGAGCTCTGAATTTTTGAGTGGTTACTGTTTTTAAAGAAAATGCAGTATGTAATGAAGCTCATACAATAGTATTTCCTTCAATTCTCTAATCTTTTTCTATGATCATATTTGTTTCAAGCTTTAGTCTTCAATCTGTAACACTTTGCTTTGTTCTTATGGAATTAAGTGGATTATTTGGTATCAGAAATGCTTTCCTTTGCAGAAAACTCTTCTAATGAGAAATTTCAATAAATGTAATCTTCAGAAATTCATGAATATTTGTCACCTGATAAAGCACAAGAGCATGTTCCCTCTAGCCAAAATGCTTCTTAATAAGGAGAAAATCTGACCTGTCTAAATTTGAATTTATTGAATGTAGACATATAGATGGTGCTTCTTGTCTCCAGGAATATATTCTAATGAAGACAAGTGCAGTGTGATTTTGCTTTGCAAATTAAATTATAGATAACATCTCTCCATTTATGCAGGATATATTGTTTCATATTTACGTGTATGTGTGTTTACATGAGCATTTATATATGAGATGTTTTCCTAGACCTGAAAATAACCTTACATCAAGAAATTGGAGCTCCAAAAGAACTGAGATTATTGCACAAAAAATATTTTCTTTGTGAATTTTTCAGTTCTGTCTTAAGCTTCATTCATCCACTTTTCCTTACATGGAGTAAACTTTGTCTTCCCTCAGCTGCTTTGAGGAAATAGCCATATACTAATAAAAATAAATTAACCTTTCCAAAGGCTTCTACAAATTCTTGTACAATTTTTGACTGGAAATGAGTTGATTACCAACATTGGATCTGCTCAGCACTGTCTACCTGGGGCTTGAATCCCTCCAATGATGCCAATTGCATAAACTCTCTGGGCTCCTGGTCCACACTACCTTTACTGGGATGCAATAGATAAGTTATATATGAGGAATTAAATCTTTATTATTGTCAAATATTTGGGAGAGGTATTGCAAATGGCTTTAGAGCCATTAGAGATACATCTATTTATGTCTTTTATTTTTCTTATTCATCTTTGAGATGTTTCATAGGATAACTAGGAATTCCTCACTGTTTTAACTTTCAGAAAGCCCTAAGACAGTGCTACCATAAAATACATTATATATAATGAATATATGACCATGAGGGATTTTATCAGCACTCATTTTGATTAACCTGCATAATTCACTGGTGCCTTTATCCTCTAGGAGTAGTAAATTGACTCAGTGTCAGGATGATAAGTTTTTTATGTTACCATATCACTGGGTAGTCCCTTTCTTGGACAGTGTATTGAGGGACATCCTGTGCCAGCAGGAGCTGGAGACTCCTGTATCAGTCACAAATAGAAAAGCTCAAATTTTTTCCAGATAAAGGTTTATCAAAACCTGTGTAAACATCACATGCCTCATACAGCCATATATTTTGGAACAAAGTACATTTACTATGGCTTTATTTCACCCTCTTGAGTATCAATATGTCTGCATACATTCAAACACTTATGCAGAGGTTACTAAAATATCTCTCCATCCCAAACTGCCCAGCTGAAACATCTCCCTGTATTTTTCATTTCTTTAATTTCTTCCAAAGCAGGTGACATGAGCTACTTGAATATACAGAACAGATCAAGGTCTCTCTTGAAACTTGCTGAGGGTGCACTCAATCCCATGGTCCATATTGCTGACCCAATATTGACCCCTGAGGGACACCACTCATCATTCTTCTCCACCTGGACATTGAGCTGTTGACCACAACTCTTTCAGGGAGACCATCCAGCCAATTCCTTATTTTTTTGATCCATCTGTCAAATCCACATCCCTACAGTTTAGAGACGAGGGTATGTGGGCCAGTTGTTCCATTTCTACTATAAATTAATAGTAAAACTGATTTTCTTGCTAGCTAAGTAACAGCAATAACCTTTTTGTACTCTTGAGAATCTTGAAGAAAAAGGACTCCAACAGTTTTGTTAATTTACCAACTCTCCCTTCAGGAAACTTTCTTTTACATAATGCTAAATTCTTGCCTGATTCAGGAGGAATTAAATCACTCTATTTGCCAAGCTCCAAAACAACACTTTGTCCGTATTCTTAAGCATTTTACATGCAAAAGTCCTCTTTGACTCCCAACTTTAAAGCAAAGGAAAGCACTCCAGAAAGGCTTTATTTTTTCAGGAAAATGAAATAACCAATCAGTGGCTCTTAAGTAAATGTTTAGGTACATGCTCTTAATCCAAATTCAATGACAGACAGCCTTACTCACTTTTAATAACAGTTGAACCTCAAATTACCTGATTTTTCTTTGAGTCTCTAGAATTAATAAGTAGCAACTTGATACTTCACTGCCCACACACATACCAACTTGCTTTTACAGCACGAGGTAGTTTACAGTGATTCAGCCTTAAATGAAAGAAAAGTAGGACCTTTAAACTATCTTCTTTTATTCCATGTAAGATCCATAGGCAGAATTGATAAGGACACTGCCAGCTCACCTGAAATAACTGCTGGATGCTCCCTGTTACTCTGTGATAAATAATGAGGTTCATTCATTTTTGATGAGGACCAGCTCTTTCTGGTTACCTTACTCTTATCACTGATCAAGAATAAACATACATTTATTTTGCCCTGTGTCCTGTATCTGTTGATATTTTTATGTATCCACCCTCCCAGTCAAGGTGCTATGGCAATTTTTGTAATGTCCTACTCAAAATTAACGGGGTGGCTCCAGCCCTTTTACCTTCCTTTTCCCACCAAAGCCCTCACTGAAATTCCCCAAGCAGGAGCTCCCCAGTAAACTCACAACCTTAACTAAACTGCCTTGTACCTTCAACAGATTATAAGAATCCTTCTCTGAGTATTGCAGTTGAACCTATTATGTTAAGATAAATGGGATTTGGAAAACAATTGGGAACTGGACCCAGCTAAAGTATATGTTTGGAGAGCGCTTTGGCTGTTGATTCCATGTTTTTGGACAGTGTTCCAAGGCACATGGTACAACACTGCCTATCTGTCTGGCTCAGAAGTTTCAGACTTTCTGGGCAAATTTTCTGATAATACAGCTGATTAGATCTGTAGAGCTCCAAATCAAACCTGAACACGATAAGGGGCTGCCTTGGATAAGGGATTTTCTTAGATTCTGCTCAGTCTAATCCTACATGAAAATCTGTGGCAAATCTACTAACAAAAACAAGAATTTTAAAAAATGCAAGTTCATAGCCTAAATGGGTATAGGTAAATGAGCTGATCAGCTTCTGAGCAGCAGTAAACAGAACAAGTGAATATTTATTCTAAAGTAAGAAATGAATATATATATTTGTTTTATTGTAATGCTCTTGCTAACAAGAGGCAGGAAGGAACGCTAGAAAAATAAAGCAGCCCTACAGTCACAAGTCTGAATTTGTATCCAAATGAGAAACATCATCATTAAAAGCAACTCTATTGAACAAAAGTAGCTCCCACAAACAGGCAAGGCTATCAGCAAGAGCTAAGTATATGCAAATGGGATTTACTGAGAGTAGTGTATGCTCAGCACCTCAGAGGATTCATTCCAATACAATAGTGCAACTGATTACGAAGCAAATATGTATTACTTTAAATAAACTAAAGCAAGAGACAAAGCAAATTATTTTGAAATGCTTTTACTCTGTAATTTCATTAAAGGACGTTGTTTATTCTTAGAGGGGAACTACAAATTGAATATTCAAATTTAAAACTACAGAAATATATATCTGTTTATGGACTAAGGTCAAAGAGACTTTTATTAGGAACAAGGATATCATCTACACAGATCAGAAATATTTGCAAAATCTTTTGCAATTTTTTATATTAATTTGTGTTTACTATTATCTAACCTCCTCACCATTTTTACTTACTTTCTTCCCTATAATCTTCTTCCAGTTTACAAGGCTCCTCACTGAAGGACAGGAAGAACACAGTTTTTTTCTTATTTTACTTTCCAAAACTCAACTGGAATCAGAAATTAGAAGTCTCATCTTGCAACATAAAGGACCAAGGCAACAGACAAATTGGCCTTTCTCCACTGATATAATGAGGTATTAGCTGACGTATCCTAACTCCCAGTTGCCAGGTCTTACTTATCTGGTAAAAATAGTTTTGCTATCTGCATGGAGGGAGTTTGATGGGAAAGATCAAAGGAGAAAAAAGAGCTTGGGGGGAAAAGGAATGGGAGAAAGGAAAGGGAAAAAACAGTGGGTTCTTTACTGAAATAATTTACACTTCAGGACTGTGACATTTTCTTACTTTTTGATCTGTTTTCCTATTTGCAGCAAAGTCACTGATGCCAAAAAGGACCCCTTCATATGCTATGCTAGTACCATATCAATCTATAGAGGAAAAAGCAAACAAGATCAGCTTTAGGCTTATTTTCAGAGATAAACCATACTGAAATACTGAATCTCGTAGGGGGAAAAAAATAGAAGTTTCATCAAAATATATATAGCACATTATGTGTTATGTAGACAATATTTTTGAAGTTGTTGCAACATATTTTTCTCTAACCAAGCTATAGGAACTGTGGGGTGGCTTTCATCTGTCTTTTAGGTTTTAATTGGTTTTATGTCTCTTTCCTTTTTATATAAATATGCAGACACCCACACGCAGATTCAAACATACATATGCATGCATTCATTTCATTTACAAATATTGATTAATATTCTTAATAATGAAAGAATTCAAGCAGAGATTCTACTCTCTATAAGAATTCTGAATCATAAGTCATCTTCTGGATCGATCTGAATGATATTGTAGTTCTCTGAAAACACAGTAGTAAATCACAATATTATAATAATCATCCTGGTTCTTGATATTTACATCAAAACACTTAAATATAGTGCAAATATAAAGTTAATTCCATAGTCACAGGTTGGGAAGCTGGAATTCTGGATTTCTAGAGTACTTCTAACATTGTACTGTATGCAAGTTGCCAAATAATGGTATTTCATTTTGATACAAATAAAATACTGTTTATTTGTAATTGGCTATCCAAGAGAAAATGAAGAAGAAGATGGAAGCAGAAGCAGCAAGTAGACAAGCAGATGTAGATGTGCACTTGGATACCAGACCTCTGGATAGCAAAGGAGCATACAGTACCCAGCACCTTGAAGATAAACAGCTCAGAAAACACTATCAGGAAAGCACTGCACTGTGTTATATCAGATCACAAGATAATGCTCTCACAAAGGGATGCCCAGGAGTTCAACTCTGTGTCACCTCCTGTTCAGGCACCAGCAGAAGAAGCGAGCTGGGCAACCTTCAAATTTTCCGTACATCAGTACTACTGAGTCTTGGGAACAGAACCAAATCACTTCTGCATTTGAAGCTAGTTTTGCCTTTGCAACTGACTGTAAAACCCCAACCAAACAGAAACACAATGGTGATGAAGCCTGGTAAGCAGCGGGTGCCAACAATGCCAGACTGGGAATGATGAAGTCAAGCGGTTCGGCCACTTATAGTTTCACAACGGATGGGGATGTTCCAGGAACAAATAGATGCTCGAGGTTCACAATGGCTTATTCAGCATTCACATACACTGAATAAAGAGACTCGAAAAAAGAAACACACACAACCACAAAAGCCAAGCTGGTTGAAGCACTGATTTGGGGTAATTGTTGTCGAGAGATGAATGTGACGACTCGATGGGTATGAAAAGCTGGACCCAGATGGCAGTAGGTAAGAAAAGATCGTAGCAATCAACTCTGCAGCATAGCTGTCAGCAATACAAGGACAGATCATTCCGTTAATATCAGGAGAATGGAAGAGGATCTTTTCGTTGCTGTGGGAAGATCAAGGTATTAAAATTACATACGTACATACGTCAAGAAGTGAAGACCAATTGCAGGACAGATACAGGAACCTTTAAGCAGCTCCTTTTAGGATTGTATGTATGACTTCAGAATGTTTGATCCAAGAAAGCCTGGCAAATGTTTAAGACCTTCTATAGTGCTTTGCAAAAAAAAAAAATATAAAAATGTTATGTGGTTGAGAACATTTTCTCTGACTTCTGATATGCTTGAGGAAGGCCAGTGATGTCACTGGGGAATCTTATGGATGGAATGAAGGGCACAAGTTAGTTGTCCTAATAATCTTCGTACTTGATTGGGCTTAAACAATGAAAGGGTGCTTTTTCAAAACCACATTCGAAAACAATTTTTTTGAAGCATCTCGAGACTCACAAATCACCACTGTTTTGAAAACACACTCAGGAGAGTGAAATTATTGCACATTTACATACGTGTGGTCTGTATTTGAGTTAGAGGATAACAAATGTGTCACGGGGCTAATACTAGGGTGAAAGAACAAAAAAAAGGAAATTGTGAAGAGCAGCAATTGTTACTGCTTGGTTCTAGTATTCTCCCAGAGGCACAGAAGCCAACATTAGGAGAAGGAAAGAAAAAAATACTTTAAAAATACAGAAAACTCTTTGTTTATCGTATTACTGCTGCTGCATATTCCTGTCTTTATTTCTAAAAAAGATTGTGTGTAAGAAGTTTGCAGTGTTCATTGAAAATAACTGAAATAACTGGATGGGCACTAGAGCATATAATCATTGTGCTTGCCAATAGTATTTGAAAACAGCACATGCATCAAAATTTAAAATATTTTGCTGGCCTTCCAGATTTTTTTGCTAAACCTAGTGTGCATTGGAACCTGAGTGAATGAATCCCATTAGTCATCACCATCTTAACAATATGCACTTCATACAGAGCTGGCTTCTGCACAGAGGAAGGAAATTACCAGTACTAACAAAGGAAAGAAGATTTATAATGAGCAAATATACAAAAGCTCCAAATAATTATAATATTCACAGCTTGGCAGTGACTTTCTAGGCTATAAAATTACTTCTCTTTTGGAAGAATGAAGATTTTACAAGGTTAATATAAACAAAGGGTAATTGGAAAATCAAATTGCTCTACACAAGCTATTGTAAGGCCTGGAATAATGGTGATAACATTTTTAAAAAGCTTGCTTATGAATCAGTGGATTTTTGTTTTGTGTATTACTGCAATCAAAAATGCTCCCTTTCAAGTGCTACGTGGGAAACATAAATGGCTAAATACAAATCCCAGCTTACCCCTGATACGATAAGTTCTCCTCCCAGGTTCTGAACTTCTGCCTTCACTTTGCTGCAGATATTGAGCTGGTGGCAGTACAGGGCAATGCGCTGCAGGTAGGCCAGCAGGTCCTGTTTGCAGGCTGAGTCTGGGCACTGCAGACAAAAGAAATATTTCATTAGATTGTAGCTGAGTTTATGTGATTAGAGACAGGTCACCAGATAGAGGCAATGTGTGTGTATTAGGTGGATCTATTCCACTTTGTCTTTACATGAGGTACTCGATGAAATGTGAAAACTCAAACCCTGCCTCTAATTTAACTCAATATTTATGAATTGTAGCCTGGAGATGCACTATACCTTTCTGGAGAGAGATGAAACCCCTCTGTCAGTCACTAATAAAAGGCAATGACAATAATATGATCACTGTGAGTGTTTACTTATGACATCAGATTGTACTGAACAGAAGAATCTACTGAGCAGCCAAAAGACCAGGTTTGACTTGAAACTCCACAACGTGGACCAGTTAAAGTCCAGACGAACCCAGTTCTGCCTGATTACAACCACCCTAATGCCAACTCTTGCCTGTGTTGCCATCTTCCCTGGCATTTGTGCAGACCAGAGGACACAGCTCTGCCTGAGGCTTGGCAGAAGCCAGATCTCTCACTGACACCTGAAGGATTTGGGAGGCAGAGGTGAGGCTGCTTGGGTTTGGTAATGACAGATTTGGCAAGCTTATTTTTGATGCTGAAATACCTTAACCTGTGCCAGAGGGAAATTATTTACTGAAGTGTGAGCAACATATTGCAGAGTATCTCAGCAAATGACATCAGTATTGCAGCCCTTCTCAAGAACACAGTGAGTTAAGCTGATCCCTCTGCATGTCTAAGGGATACTTCTCCATCCTAGAGGGAATGCTGTCTACAGTCCTGTACCATTTAAGATACTGTGAATCAATCCCAAATGTGTGTTGATACAGATTAGATTAGGTCAAATGTGCTAGACACTGTGAGGGTTTTATAATCAATATAACTAGAAAAGGTCCAAGTACAATTTATTCATAGTCCCTGGGACTCTTAATAGAAACTGCATCTTCCCCCACAATATCAAGAGCATAATAAACAACAGTCTTTAGTTAATATTCAAAGTCTTGCCTCAAGAGAACAGACCTCTGTAATTCACTCTGATGAAACACTGCTAAAAGGGTTCACTGCTAACAGCATGTCTCCAATAAATGCCCTTTGAATACCCTTTGAGTGCATAGCTTGGGGAACAAAGATTCCAAATATGCCTTCTTAGCATCTTACAAAGTCTGTGCTCAAATTTTTAAAAAATATTATCAGAGCATTTCAGGAAAAACTGATAGAATTAAACACACATGAGCCAACAGTATCACAGCCTTTGACTTGAGATCACTGCTCTAACCCAACAGATAACGCTGCCCAGCAGTGAGTTCATGATGAACCAGTTGTATATATTGTTGTCTATAACCCTGAAAGCACTGACTTTGCTTTTTTCTCTCCCTTTAAAACTAACAAGAAACAAAGCTGGAGGTCCATTGTGGCTGTCAGGTTAAATGTGCCCTACAGTCATGGCAATAAGGCTATAAAGCCTCTTTTCCTCAGACAGATGCCGCATCTTTCAGGCATGAATCCCTAAGAACCCTTTTCTCCCTACCAGTGTCAATTTAATACAAAAATATTTACCCTATTCTTGAAGTCTATGAACTGAAAGAAATGAATTTTGAAACAATAATTCTAGAGAGCTGTCAAGGTTTTATATACAAGCACCTTGGAGTGAAAAAATGTAAGAGCTCTCTCATTGGAACAATAATTAAAAATGCAACTGTCCATAAAAAGTTTATATTGCATGAGGGTCTCCAAAGTTTTGTGAAATATCATTAAAGTGCAAGCATTAAAACAAATAATTCATTCTCAAAGTGCTTTCACTGTTTATTATTAAAGTGTTACAGTCCTCTGAAATTTAAAATGTGACTCGAGCCAATGCACTCTAAGCATAACAAGTCTCTTTGTGTTTCTTTCTCTAAAATATTCCACCTCTGCAAATACTTCAGACTAGGAATTTCATCAGCTGACAGATGGATTTCTTCTTTTTTGTGCTGAAATGAACAGATGCTACTTTCAAAGGATTGGAATGGGTTAACTACAGGAGAAAATGCTTGCTGATAACGAAGAAACTCTAAACCCAAAATTTCCAAGGTTGTAGAAAAATGGGCAGCTTCAGGTTTCTTGCCATTTTAGCTCCTATTCCGTGGCAGGGTATGTTACACACTATTACATTCTTTCTTGGAGAAGAAAAAGACATACTTATTGTGAAGAGAAATATTAGAAGCAAGGAAGTTATTGGTTCCCACTTCCAGTGGATTTTCTCCTGATGATAACGAGAGGAAAGGAACTATTGGAAGTTTACAAGTGAAAAAAACAGCCAAATTTAATTTGCCTGAATCTCAAATTAACTACCTAGGACCTGGATTTGAAATTTGGCTCTTGACTTTTAGTGTGCTGCTTCCTCTCGCTCTCCAGATGGATCCAGATGGAATCCAATATGAAAAATTATATATCTAGTGAGTTCATCTTTCCAGTTGTGATATGAGCTTGGTACTGGGAGTGAGGACACAGAACAGGGACCAGGGGCCTGTTAAGGTGAAATACCCACAATAGCCTGATGCAAAGCAAGAAAGTGGGAGTCAAGGAACATTGAAGAAGAAATGTGCCATATCAAGGGAAGTTGCTGAAAGACTGAGCTGAAAAGAAGGTGAGGATTCCAAGGCATATGGCAAAGGTAATGGAGCATCTGAGTCTCTACTGCTTCCATAACAGCAAATAAATTTTGGACTCGATGATCTTAGAGGTCTTTTCCAACCTAAATGAGTCTCTATCAGTCTAATTCTAACACAACATCTGGGCCCAGGAATGAGGTGGAACAAGTCAAGCATTTCTGAGCTTTAGAGAGACTTGTTTGTGGCTTTCCTTTACTGCAAAACCCAACTGATAGGTACAGAAAAACTTCTATTCAATGGGTAGGTCAGAGTCCAGGTGGTGACTTCCAGCAGGTGATTCTCTGCCAAGTAAAGATAACCTCTTCCTGCAAAAGGCAACTCATCTATAGAGGTTACATTGCATTTCTGCTCATTTCTGTGGTTACCTGATCAGCTACTGCCCGTGCCAATTTGTCCATCCTCGATCCTGCCTCTGCAATCTTCTTGGCTGCATTAATGACATCTGATGTGTTCTTCAGGGGGCCTTTGCCTCTGTGAAATACAAGACAATTACGCACAACCTAAATAAATCACGAGAGGCAACAGTTTTAGTGACCCTGTTTAGTGCTAGATTTTAAAATAGCAACACGAATGACTTCTTAATTTATTAGAATCTCACCTTTTAACTACTTTATAGTACAGCTTGATTAAGAAATCGGTTTGCTGCATTTCCTCTCCCTTACGAAATGCCTCACCAGCAATTTAGTGTGATGGTGCCTTCAAGCACATGAGCTGTACTTAAAAGTATATGCATTTTTAAGTGCTCATTAAGCCAATGCTCTTTCTGGAATACACAACTATTCAAAAATTATGCGATTCCCAAGCCAGTGCTAAATGTTAAGCCCATCATGTCTAGGGCAAGAATGTCACATTTTAGAAAACTTTTTTTTGGTAGTTATTTTTTTCATTGGAAAATAAAGACATGTGAAGCATAATCCTTACATTACATTTAAATATTACACTTAAAACATGTATAATTAGCTTTAAGACTGATCTTTCACTATATTTTTAAGATGATGTACGAAACTCTCATTTTAGTCTATAAAGTAACCAAAGTGCATTAAGACAAAAATTAAAAAGTCACCACAGACTTTTCTGAGTTTGTTTCACACTCAAAACTTCAATCTTGTTTGTACTAATCAAATTGCTGCTGCTCCTGAGAATGGCTCAGTTGGAAGTGAGCTTATTTTTTTTTTTTTTTAAATTTGGAAAATCATTCTATGATCAGGCAATTTTTTTTAAAAAAATGAAGTAGAAGGAATTTTTTTTAAGCATAACATTGTATTATTTTTCCTTTTTTCACAATCTATGATGCCAAGAATAACATGCTAAAACATATTTCCACTTTAATCTTCTTTCCATACTTCCATTTCCACCTTAAACAGATAATGAAATAAAAGTATCCCACTTCTGGTGAACTTAAACTGCAGCAAAAGTCCTTCTTGGTGACCTCTTATGTTTCTGCATTAATTACATGAGCAGACCTTGCTGTCACAAACTCCATGCATTTGAAAAATTATTCTATTTTAACACTGCTGAGGTTACAGTCAACCAGAAAGGTGTGATAGGCTTTGTTCTGTTTTAATGGAATATATTAAACAAGTTGTTATTGAATCTGATGCTGACAGAGGTGCACTTTGATTTTTTTTTTTTATTTACTTCAAATGTGACAGTAGTTTTCTCTCATTCTCATATTAGTTCTGTTCTTTTGATGCTGGGAAATGTAATTACAAAATTTTCATTTCCATGATCTGTGTATCAAAGGTTGTCCAGGAGGTTGCATGAAATGTTCATATTCTGGGCTGTGTCTTTAGAACATCATTTCTTCCTTCCATGAAACACTCTTTGGGCAGTTTTTCATACTGGTGTTTTTTGGTCAGAAGGATCAGAGTCCCAAGGCAATACAAGTACATAAGTAATTCAGAATCCTGTAAAATATCACTCTTCACAGGAGGTTCTACCCTGACATTTGGTAGCCAGGGGTGGTGAATCTACTGCAAAAAGAACAGTTGTAAAAGCAGAGACTGAGAGGAAAACAAGTAAGTTGAGGGAATGACCGCTTGGAGCAAGTATAGTAGTAATCTATTAAAGCAAGCAAACTTTCTATAGGCATAATTAAATTTAAAATGGATAAAAATGTTTGCTGTTGCCTATTATCAATTAACTACCTATGCAAATAGTCAAGTTATTTGAAAATTAATGTTATTTATGCACACTCCTGCCCTCTCTCTCTCTCTCTCTCTATCTATCTATCAGGTATGTGTGAACTCCAGGTTGTAAATGCAGAGACTGGCTCCTCTGACGTGGTTTGAAGGTTCCAGACACAAGGCATGTGATCAGCTGGAGATTAAGAAATCATAGAATCACAGAAAGGTTTGGGTTGGAAGAGATCTTAAAGATCATCCTGTTCCAACCCCCTGCCATGGGCAGGGACATCTTCCAATAGCCCAGGTTGCTCCAAGACCCATCCAACTTGGTCTGGAACACTTCCAGCTTCTCTGTGGAACACAGTGAGATGAATAAATGGATGTTTTATTTTAATTCTAAAGGAAAACATGAAGATTTTTGTCCAGTTTTGGGCAACCACATTTTGGCAGATACCATTGAAACGTCTGAACTCCCACTAAAAATAAACACCAAACAAAATTTAATTTATTATGATGATTTGTAATTCAAAGAATCTTGTAAAATGTTGTCCCTGGTGTGTTTAACACTATGACTACAGTTTAACAAAATAATTCTGTTTACATTATGCCATTAATGAATGGCCTTTTGATGCTTTCCAATTAGAGAAGAACAAGATATCAATAGAGAAATAAAATGAAAGCAAAAAAAGAAAAAATCATTACTGACAAACTTCCACGACATATTAGATCAAAACAGTTTCATTTCATTTGGAATTTTTTTTTTTTGAAAGAAGTTCAGTGATCAAAATTATATAAATAGTTTTGCCATTATTTTTGATTGACACAAATTGCAGTGAAATGTTGAAAGTTCAGAGGGGCGCATGCATTTAGATGGGTACTAAAGGAAATGTCAGTGGAGTGTCTGTAAGGTCACAGACTAACTTTGCTGCTGAGATTCAAGATGATCTGCAAATAAAAGAGATTCACAAACAGGACAAAAAACTTCATGTGATTAATCCTGTTTGGAGAAATATCCAGAGCTGTTGTGCGTAGAGAACTAAACAACACATCCCACTGTATATGATGTGTGTTACTTGGCTTTGCATCTCCAAAAACGCATCAAATCATCTCAACAGGCTACAAACTGAACAAAAAAAGAAAGATGTGGCATATCTGGACTCTTCAGTGCAGGTTATTTTGTCCTTACCTAGTGAAGTCTGTCATTTCCATCATGATCATGCACATCTGCTTTGCCAGCACAATGATGTCATTACCACTGTCATCCCACTTTGCCACCTCTGCATCCAGTTTGCTCTTCTCTTGGTGGAATATCTCTACCTGCTCAGCAATCTTAGCCTTCTCCTCCTGGGGAAGCTGAGCCATGATAGCCTGGAGAAAAAAGACAAGGTGGGCATGAAAAAAGGAAGCCAGAAACTTGACATTTCCAGTGGTCCAAATGGCAAGCACAGCTTCAGTTGATTTTCATGGGAGTTGAAGATGCCAAGCAAAATCCAGCAAGCATTTGATTTCTGTTAGGACAGGCAAACCCAAATCCACAGCATGTTTATAGCTCTCCTTGTACCTTCAAGATGATAAAAATTATATGACATACAGATTATTCACCAGTTGATACAGGAGGATTAAATTCCTATTAAATCTTAACTTCCAGGAAGAACAAAATGAAGGACATTTATGGGAAAAGGCAGGCTGAATTGCCAGTGTCTCCCCTAGTCTCATTCTCTGTCAGAAATCCAAGTTTCTGATTAACCCAATACTAAAATAAGCTATGACATGCAAGATAATACATTTACAGTGAATTGTAACAAACATGTCTTTTAATGATATTTAGTGTTCTGTCTCTTGGACGATATGCAAAAAGGCACTACACAGGTTGGTACTAATCTGCCTCAACATCAAGAAAGCAGAAAGTTCCCTGCCCTCTAAAAAAAACCCCAAAAAAACCAACCCTAAAAAACTATAATAATTACTTTTGAAGATCAAATGGACACTTCCAATAATGATTTCCAAGTTAACTCACTATTTGGCTTTAGGGGTTCTGAAGACCACATTATGCATTTAATGGGGTATGACACATATTTAAGTGTCATTACATTTTTTTTCTTGTTTATGTCACTTTCAATCAGCTGAAGTCTTTTTTCTACATATTCTTAAAATGCTCTTGGCTTTTAAAAGTTCATAATTGACCTTTTCCAAAACTGAAATGAAAAAGGGTTATAAACAGTAGATCAGAAAATGAGAAATTTGCAAGTTAATCAAATTAAAATTCAACACGAGTTTTAATTAGGTCTTATCAATGTAACTCAGCAGTTTCAAATGTTAGAATAAAAGTCCTTCCACAGAAAAATGCTGTGTAAGTCAAGCCAATAAATAAATAGATAAAATACACATAAAACCCTAGAACTGATGAATTAACTGAAGAGAACATGATAGGAGTGGTAAAATTTGGGAAGTGGATCTGAATGTCTTGCCTGCAGTTTCTTTTGGTGGCAGCTTCACCTGCACACGCTTTAAACTGGTATCCAGTGTTTTAATATTTCTGTTCCAGCTGGTGAGGTGCTTTCAAAGCAGCCATATCCTACAGCAAATGCAACTCATTCATTCCAGTTTTATTTCCACTGAAGGCCAACACAAGCCTTTCTACTGAAATACTAACAGCTTTATGGAGTAAGCATATTAAACAAATCCATTACATTCCACAAATAAAAATGTTTTGAATATTTTCTGCAGAAACGGTTCAGATAAGATACTATTCCACTTAGCAGAATCATTTCAAAGAGTCACTGCAGAGTGTGGAATGGGCTTCTGCTTAGCATGTTTTCCTTTTAGGTTTTTGTCATTTGTTGTTTCCTCTGACATATTGCAATCTATGTTATTCAGGAACTGTCCTTATAATGTATTATGTTTATACAGTGTTTGCAGCTGATCAAAGCAGAAGGTTTTAAGTGTAGCAATAATAATAACTGTAATAAATGTAGTAGAATTTAAGACTCCTAAGTCCCTAGGTGAACTCAATTCTTAGTAAAAAAATTACTGCAGTCTTTACTTGGTTTTCAGATCAAGAAAGGATGATATGCTACTAGTCCTAAATGTAACCAAAAAATGGAAAAGACTATGAAATTTGATAGAATACTCTGTACTGTACCTCAATTCTGCTGTACCTGAAACTTACTTTAGTAGTCAAGTCTTTGAATATAACAGAAAGCACTTTATGCTCTTTAAAATATAAAAATCACAAAAGATAGTCATCTCCCTCCAGAACACAGTTCTGTCATCCTTCTCACAGTGAGGCATCCAGCTATCATTTTGAAATTCTTGGTACTGCATGGTTTTCACTGTCATTTCCTGGTCACCCAGCTCTCTGGGATAGGATCTACAATCCATCTCTCTTCTTGTAGATAAAAATGAATATATGTATTATGTCCTTGTGATTTAGTGATAGAAATCCAGCTTTTCTGATACATGGTATGATTTATTTACCATCTGTGTTCAATATTCATGGAAATTAATTTAAGACAAAAAGAAATATCTGCCCATTACACTGGCTCCATGTCTCACATTTCTCCCATACTTTTAAGTAAGCTTCTTTTAGATTTGTGTAACTCTTCTGTTTCTTTTCAGGGTGTAAAATCTTTATGCTAAGTTCCAACATACTCTGAGTCCTAGAGCAGCTAAAAACTCCACTGTCCTGCTGCTCTGAATTGATTTTTCAAAGCATCATTGCCTTTTGATCTTTAGGTTCTCAGCCCTATAAATCCTCTTGCAGAATCCAAGGTAAGAAATCCCCATTCCAGCTACGAGCTTTTGCTACTGTTTGTTTAAGTGTGTGAGGACACATCAGAAGAAACCACAGACTTGTGTGAAACAACCATAAAAATCATTCAGGTAACTCCCAGTTCCCCACTGGTCCTCTGCTGGAAAATGTTTAAGGCTTATTTTTTAAACTCTCTTTCCAGTCAAGTATATTTTCACTATGTCATTTTCCCCTCCAATTATATTCTGATGGGTTTTTTAATAATGTGATATGAGCAGCCTATTCAGTATGAAGTAAACATTCATCAGAGGGTGGCATAATCCCGAGTGTTAACAGGAATATTCCTGAGTGTTAACAAACTTCACTTCCCCAGCACCTGTGACCCCTGAAGCACTCATCAGCTTCATTTGCAATCCCCGTGCACAAGCTGAGGTCGCAAATCACAATGACTGGAGTTTATCATGATGTAATTACCCTGGCAAAATTACATTGACTCAGTAGCAAATGTCTTCAATTACAATTAAATTACAGGGACTACTCGGTAGCTTAAACAGATCTTCTTGACAGGTTTGCACACTGGGAAACATGACTAATGTAAGATTTCTCTGGATACAGCACATGGTGCCCTGATGGGATTTTTTTTATTTTTTTTTTTAATTTGCTGACTACTCCCACAGCCTTCAGCACATTCCAAACCTGCAAAGCCTCCTCTTACAGCAGTAGCTGGAGCAAACAGCTGATACAAGGCACCATGAAAGCCTCAGGAAGATCATTCAATGAAGTCAGTGCTACTCCAATAGGTGCGACACGAACTTTCAACACTTAGTTCAGGTTGGTTCTGTCCTTTCTTAAACGACCCTGAAGATTGGAAATCACTGCCTTTGCTTTCTGAGGCACAGCTTTTTATTGGTGGCTATACAGACATTAATGTTTTATGTGGGGTTTATACTCACCCTGGCACTCTGGCCAGCAATAAGCTGGTCATCCTCAGTCTGTACACTTGTTCGGCTGCGAACGTCATAATCTTCCTGCTCGAAGTCTGAATCATCCTCCAGCTCTTCAGGGGTCTAGAGAGAGAGAGAGACAGGGAGAGAAGGCCAAAGAGAGGAGATGACAAGCTTAGAAAGAATACAGACAAAGTCCTATGCACAGTAAGATCTTATTTCATAGATCCCTTGCCCAGGAAATGCTGTTCTGTTTCCCTTTTAAATGAACTTGTCTGCCCAAGCAGTCAGGAACTGAAATTGAATTGTCTTAAAAATTAAGTTGTTTCACCTCTAGTTTTCTTTACAAATAACATTTGTCATTACCTTGCCACAACTTTTCTTACTGCAATTTCTCTTAACTCTGTTAACATGATGAATGCAGTTCCAGGAACAAATATTCTTTGGAAACACTAACAACTAGAATGCTGTATTTCAAAATAATGTTATTTCTTATATAAATGGACACTAATACTATTATATTACTGGAAGCTACATGTAATCTTCAAAAGAGAAAGTAAATATCTGGGAAAAAGCAACTGACATCCTGGAAGAAAAATTTATCAAAACAAATAAGAGATTTCCCATTAAAAGAAATTGTAAATGATGTCAACTGGTTTTCAAATAAATATAAAGTTTATAACCTGTGTTATCTTGTTAATTCACATGGTTCTTTTCAGATACAGGGCTTTGGAATTTGACTCATCCCCTGACTGAAATCATGTTATCTCCATTGCTGGTGCTACAAATGGTGTGAGGGTCTCTAAGCAGATTGGTTAAATCTAGTTACATATATGCAGGCTTCAGCTTTTTTAAAATTTCAGAGGGAGGGAGGAAAAAAAATAACTGATGGATATGTTTATTTGGGCTTTTTCATCTTCTAGCAAAAAATCAGGAGAAAAGAATTTCCTTATGTATATACAGAGAGACAGTATAAATAAAATCACTATTTAGTACTATATTTATTATAGACGATGCAAAAAAAGAGTCTTTAGAAAGAAGATTATATTCCATTTTGTGACTGAATAGCCTCTAGGACAACAGTCTGGCCATGAGTAACTTCTGTAGGTACAATACATGATGATGGTGACAGAAGAAGAAGAATAAGATCACAGTAACTGTATCACCTTACTGGATACCCCCGTGTGCCCCCAGTGTCAATCTCGGAGGCCATTACAGAAGAAATCATCCATGCTGGCATTCCATGCTTGGAGGCAACGTCAAGCTTTTTAGCAGAGGTGCTAATCATTGCCAGTTGTCATTACAGCTCTGCCTTGAAGATGCTCAGTCACTAGGAACTGCTCCAAACCCTCTAACATAACGTGGAGAAGTCTTTTGGCGGTGTTTATATTCCAGCCTGGCTTCCAACGTGAAGTGCACATCACTGTTTGGAGCTGCATGGCGAAGTGCACAGGATGGGGAGAGTAAAACACAGCCATCATCATTTGGCTTGAAGAGTATGAATTAAATATGTGTTTCGATGCCGAGTGCTGGAGGAAGAAGTAACCAAGTGTGACAGTGTGGTAATGGAACTCAGGCTGCATCTCTGAAGAGAGACATGTACAAACAGTGTGTGTAACAGGACAGACAGCACGAGAAGTTTAGATGAGAAATGAATTTACCTTTTCTCTACTGTCACAGGAAAAACAGAAAGATTGGTACCCATCATTAAAATGACCAATGGTCTTGTTTTCCAATCACCTTTAATCACTTTATTTTCTCTGCTCAGCTGCCTGAGGGCAGGGTGTGACCTTAAAATCTGTCACAAACAAACAAGCTACAAAGAGAATCATACAACTCCCTGAGCAGAGAGAGTATTTTCTGTCATAGGGCTCTGCCTGCACTTTCCTGGGAAGAAAAGGAATAGGATGGAGAGCTTCAACCCTTTCTTCATAAATCAGTTGTCTCTGACCCATCCTCCAAGTCCATTTAATTACCCAGTTTCACTGGCTATTGTAACACCTGTATCCTTTCACCCCCAAATATCCTCCTCTTAGTTTCTTCTATCTCCACTTTTATAGATAAGAATATAAAAAATAAAGTGCAGTCCTCCCCCAGCCTTTCACAGTCAGACATCAGTAAAGTAAGGGTGTAACATTAAAAATACACATCTCAACACTGTAACCAGTAAGAACATCCATGAAGATGTCCCTTAAAAAGCAAAAATATTCTGAAAATTCTATTCAAGGATTTACTCTTAAAGTAAGATTCAGAAAAAAACGTATTGCTGTTGTTGTTTGACACTCCTAACATTAACATTTGTGGTCTTTCAAAGACTGAAATTTAATGGGTATAGGTGTTGAACTTGGAGAAAATGTAGTACAAAGCAAAAGGACCAGTAATGCAACTAATACACTCCAAGCACATTACATCTCCATATTTCTCCTCTGTACATGTGAGATCTAATTCAAAATGATCTTTCAGATTCATTTCATTCTCTTTAGGTTTTTAAGTGTGGTGAATTTAACATCCTTGTTTTCTTCCCCAGATAGCTACATTTTTCATTGAGGGGAAGGACTGGAGTCTGTCTGATGCCATTTCAAACATCTTCATGCTTTTCAGCCTTGCACCATTCCTTTGTTTTAGCTGATCTCTTGGACATGCAGCCCACATAGAATAGAATCTCCCTTTTGTTTAGACACAAAGGTATAAAAAGAAATATTGAAGTTCCTTGACTTAAAGACTTCTGCTCTTAGCAGGGCCTTCTAAAAATACCATAACAACTCTAATTTTTGTGTACAACTAACAGGACCTTGGTATTTAAAACCTAGTTTCCGTGACAGCAGAGTCTGAAACTCAATTTATCTGACTTGGAGGATGGAAGGACTGGATCCATCTTGCAGACACATGGACTTATGGTCACATAAATATGGATTTGAGACTTGTTTCCAAACAAAACTGACAACTGCCAGTGGCAGGAGAAGCTACAGTAATTTTCAAAACTAATAGATTTTATGAACTGACTGATTTCAGCAGAAAACTGGGCCATTTTCATCATTTTTAGTCTGTCTGGTTTGTAGCACAGGCCATAAGACTTCCCAGGACAACTTCTTTTTCAAATAGAGTATCTCTACTACACAAAGAGTATATTCTTCATTCATCTAACTCAGATGAATTCTTCCAGTGAAGAATATTCTTTCACAATCCCAGATAAATCACCCAGTAAATACATACTTTCTCTTTTAAGATGCATGTTTTATTTCTAATATGAATATGGTGACTTTCAACTTCCAGGCACTGGAATATTTTGTTTAAATATCTCTCTGACTGTGAGAGTAAAGAGCTTGCTGTAAACAAAATACCTTCCATCACTATTTTTTTTTTTTATCTTTTGTGACTGCTGTATAAAAATGTGAATTATACAAGTATAAGTCATAAAATGGCATATATATGCAGATAAGTGCTATTTGTTTCATATTTCACCATCGCAAATATACTTGATGAAGATAGAAACCCCACTATGCTACACTGCTGTATGCACTTAGAAATTGTAAGATGCAATTATAAGAATTTCAACACTGTGAACACCAAGTCAAGCTAACCTTGTAATGAGAGGAAAGACTGAAAAGATGAAAAGATACTCCCCTATTTTTTACCACAAAAATGCCCTTTAATTCTAAAAGATAAGGAGAAAAAAAAAAAAGTAGACCTTATAATATGCTTTTATATCCAACTCCACACTCTTCTGTACATTTGTTTTGGTACAATTGAACCCTGAGTGATTCAGGTGCAAGCAGTACCTGAGTGCCTAAGTCAGAGAACCTCTCTCACTGCAGGTCTTTGGTTGTTTAATGATTTACAGTAAAACCTAACACTTCAAATTCAGTCTGAGAAGTAGCAGGCAGTCAATGCAGACAGTGGAACCCATAACACCCTTTGGAGATAGGCTGTTTCAAAAGATGATGGGATTCTGCATCAGATCTAGTTTTCCAGAGGACCTGAAAAGTTGCAGCACTTTGGTTTTCTCCACAGTGGCTGCCCCACAGGTGATGATGGCTAAACCTGTACTGACAAGTGTGGAAGAGTGGAAGGGCATTAACACACCCAAACAGTCTGGGGATAAGGACCCCACACTGCCCTCATTCCATTTTTATTCAGACTCATTGTAGTCTTCTCTCATGGACTGAAAGTCCCTTAAAGATAGAACAGAAATGCTGTTAATCATAGCATTGTAAAATAGAACATCCTGAGTTGGATCCACAAGGATCATCGAGTTCAACTCCTGGCTCTGCACAAGACAGGCCCCAAAAAAATCCCACCATGTGCCTGAGAGCATTTTCCAAAAGCTTCCTGAACTCTGTCAGCCTTGGGGCCATGGTCACTTCCCTGGGGAGCCTGTTCCAGTGCCTGACCACCCTCTGGGTGAAGAACCTTTTCCTGATATCCAACCTAAACCTCTCCTGACACAACTTCAGGCCATTCCCTTGGGTCCTAGGGGGCTCACAGAGCACATCCTCCCAAAGAATCAAGTTTCTGTGCTCTAAGATTACTCTGTAAAATGAACAAAAACACAGCAAGAAGGAGCACCTGGAGATTGGCTCCAAAAATGCACTCCTGACCCAAACAGATGTAACACTGAGGTTAATGCAGATGCCACTAAAGGCAAGGTTTCTAATAGCAAAGGCCATGTGTGAAAAGAGCAAACTGGCCTCAGAGAGACATAAGAATGAGAAAAGGTGCCATTGTGATTCCTCCTAAGTGCAGAGAGGGTTTCTAGCTAATAACTGAGGGAATTTCATAAACAGCTGTGAAAAAACAAAGTGTAGTTTAATCCCTGCACAGTAATAGGAAAGATGTCGGAATGAAATTATTATTTTCTATTTTATTTTTCGGTTCTATAATTATACTCTTAAATTCATTTATACTACTTCTTAAGTTGTGGAAGGGATTTTTTCCTCTGTGTAGTTCATAATAATAGTCCTCAATGAAAAAATGAGTCTCCTTTCTCCTCCAGAGGGAAAATAAATTCTCCCCTTGTGAAAGAAAAAGAGAAGAACAGAGATTATCTCCCTTTCCTTCAGCTTACCAAAAGTAATAATACCAACCAAAATTAATTTTAAAAGTGGCTTTATTTACTCTATGAAATGAGAGAATCATCTCAGATAAATTCAATCTTTCACGGCTTGCACACAAACAATCACTGCCTGAAAATAATTGTGTCAGATGCTCTAAAAAGTTTGCAAGGTCGGGTTTTTGTTTTTTTTTTTTAATAATTCTTTGAGAAGTTTTATAGCCTGAATTAAAGGGGTGCATGAGATTTGATAAATTATTAGATAAAAATATTCTAAAAACTTTCTTCTATAGCTTAATGCCTCACCCTTTAATTATACATTCCATTTCAGGGTGACATGTTCAGATGGGAATGAGTATCTCAAAGTGAAACTAATTTTGTTTTCTACAGAGAATAAGGTTCTGATTCAGCAAACTCTGGTCTGTGTAAGCTTATATATGTGGATTTTTCCAGTTAACTCACAAGGATAATGAGTCCATTTATGTGCTTTAGTTCTCTGCCTGGGTAAGGAGTACTACATTTAGCTCCATAAATACATTAATTGTCTGAATGCAAAAATAAATCTTCCTAATCTGGGTAAGCAGAATTCATTAACTCATATCATACAACGAGTGGAAAGTAGTAGTGATACAATTGCAAAAGTAACTTGGGAGGACTGCAGAGCCTGCATGCTGATCAGCTTTCCAAGTAAACAGGACAGTGAGGCAGAAATGAAATAAGTGAATGTGCCTCCAGAATATAAAATGGTGCTTTGTGCTTAGCAGAAACATCTCACCAGGACAGTCTCATGGCAGCCTCTCAGGGACAACTCTGATGTACAGGAGGGTGCTGGAAGACAGAACTCTGTGTAGGGGATGGGAAAGTGTGTTTCTATAGGAGATCCCACCTGATGGTTGTGCCTCATGAAGCGATTTCAAATGACTAGAGAAGACTAAAATGTGCTAAGAAGTGCTTCTTGTCCTAAGAGAAGTTTGGAAACTGCTTCTACAGACTAAGGAACTGGATAATCAGGGAGGGAAAAAGGAGATTCTTTGCTATGCAGATCTTTCATTTCATAGAACCACAGAATCATAGAATGGTTTGGGTTGGAAGGGACCTTAAAAGCCATCCAGTCCCACCCCCTGGCATGGGCAGGGACACCTTCCACTAGTTCAGGTTGCTCCAAGCCCTGTCCAACCTGGCCTTGGACACTTCCAGGGATCCAGGGGCAGCCACAGCTTCTCTGCCCAACCTGGGACAGGGCCTCACCACCCTCACAGGGAAGTAATTTAAGTAAAGATTTCCATCCTAGTCCAGAAGAGTTGCCAATACTATGATGCTGCAGACCCAGAAACAGGATGGGTTTGCCCCTGTCATCAGTCATGACTATAATTTAGGCTACCTGAGATGAGCACTGGGAATGAGAATGGAATTTATGTTTCACAGTTATAAAATTAAGCCTGCCAAAAGCTTTTTCTGTAAATGTTAATACATAGTGAGAGATGAATAAAATGGAGCTATTTTGGAGTGCTCCAACTGCCTGAAGTCTTACATTAGAGCCATAATACACTCCCAACCACAAGTGTATGTTACCTGTTTGCTCAAAGGGATGAGTTGGTGTTTTAGCCCTGTTATTTGCTTCATAAGAAATAAAAATCCTCTATGATTTTCTCCCCAGCTTTATGTGTATGTGGCTCTCATTAGAGCAGATTCAAGGTAATTTGGGTTTCAAATAACAGTTTCAGTTGCTGAAGAGATGTCCAAACTAGGTTTGGTTTGCTGTTTTTATGTTTTAAATCTTTGACTGCAGACTACAGTGAAAAGCAACACACACCTACTCTCATAATAATGATGTTGTTCTGTGGTTTCTTTTATTTATTTGTTTGTTTTATTAAAAGATGTCTAAGCAAATTGAATCAACTGGTTAGTCAACACTGAAATGACACATTTATACCTCAATAAACATTCAAAACCATCCCTGCAGAGGCTCACTGGAGCAGCAAGATAATTTATTTATTCATTTAGATTTTAACCAGACCTACCTCACATCCTAGGCAGCACACATATATTAGGAAAAGAACCCAAATAAACAAAACAACAAAAATCTACACAAACTTTGAAGACCTTGGGAAATTAATTCTATTACTATGGAAACAGTAATGAAGTTTGCATCTATTGGCAGTTGCAATCAAATCTTCTCCGAGGTGATTAACATATTAATTGTGGTTCATCTACGAAAACAACCTCATCTCTTTATCTACTAATTCTTTTTTGTTGTATATACTTTTGTTTCGCGCTTGTTTCAATATCAACCTTTTCTGGCTTATTACAACACAAGGTCGATTCCAAGAAGCTTTTGTGTTTCTCTCATCCAACGTGATACTTCCCTGCCAGTCCCAATTTTACTCCCCGGGTGCTTCACATACCCTTATCATCAGAACAGCTTTCCTGATGTCACGAACTCCGTCGTAAACCAGGCGGGAGGCGTCGATGAACTCATTCTCCTCAAAGGGCTGGGGGACGTTGGCGCTCAGAGCTTCAATGGCAACCTCCACTTGCTCAGCAAAACGTGGCATAACTGGGTCAAACACAACAAAAGGAAGATTAGACACCTTCTTTCACGACCGTTCTCCCCCCGCTCTCGGGCAGAGACTCTTTCCAACAGATGTGGGACACGCTGTTCTTACAATTCCAAGACACAGGAAGGCTCGTGGCATGGGTTTGCACCGATGCTGCACATGCAGGGCTCTGGTACATTTTCTGGCAGCAGAAAAATAATGATCTTCGCATTCTCTCCCCCAGTTGCACAACAAAGAATGGAAAGCTTCCTTTAAAAAGTGTGATTTACTAACTTTCAAAAGACTGCAGGATACCTGAGCAACCAGTTAACTACATTTAAAAGCTTTACAACTTGGAATGAACAGAGTACATATTTATACCAAGTGATCAAAGCAAACTGTAGCCATTATGCCCATTCATTTAGAGAACTAACTGCAGTCTAGCTCACACTGAATAATAATAATTATATAAAGGACAAAATGTAAAATCAAGCATATTACTTCTGAGAAGGCACTTAAATGAAACTTTTGTTTCTTCGCTATCATCATGTATATAATACAAAAAAAAGTCATAGATACTAGCTAACAGTATTATAAACTGTGGTATGAACTTTTTAATACATAGCTTAAAGCAATTATTACTTCTGTAAATAGTTTCAGGGCATTCCTTGACGCAGCAAGAGGCTTTTCTCCAAATTTTGTACAGGATTCCTTTGAAGGTATAATCACTTTCTGCACATCATGTTTGCAAAAATCTTCCCCAAATCAGTCCTCTAACAACTTACAGCCAAATCCTACAACAGGAACATGAATGTCAGGTCCCACTGATGATAATGCACCTAGGCTCCTGTACTTATTAACTCCTCTGCAAAACTTTAGACTTAATATTGGAGGAAACCTGGATTCACTAGAAACCTGGATACAAAATCCAGTGGGATTAATTTTAAAGAATTCAAGGAACTTGGGTCAAGCTTGATTTATAGATAGACATCTTTACATTATATTCATGTCATTTTTAATCTAGCATTTAGGTATCTAAATCATGTACCACTGGCTTTACTATTTTGGCAGTATAATTGGAAGAACAGGGAAAGATGATTCCTAAATCATTCAGTTGCCTTTTTTTGTTGTTAAAATATTACCTTTCCGGACTATCTTTTCCCTAGACCCTATTTTTAATGCATTTCTTGGTAACTTGAACCCGACTGATGAATACAAAGAGGAATTTCCAGTGTTATTTTCATCCAGAGCAGTGATAATCTTTCCTAGGAAGGAAACTTTCACTGTGACATGAAACCACATTTTCTTCTTGACTGAATATCCTTAAATTTATTTTAATCATAATGAAAACTACATTTTATACATCTTACTATTTGGTTTAAAGTAAAATCACAAAAAAACATGATTCAAGAATAGTTTACATTATGAAGAACAAGTGGCAGCAACCATGAGCTCAAACTTGCTGTTTCTGGCACTCAAGTATTACTCACTGGATATTAAGGGGGAACCCTTTAAAGTTCAAGATATAGTGATTCAAATCTTATTTATATGTATATACACACACACACATACATATATATATATACACATATATATATTTGTTCATGAACACAGATGAAAGAACAAAATTGTATCTTCCATGAAGATAATATTCAGTAAGTGCTTGGGATATATTGAAGAAAACAGGAAAAAGTGGCAGCAACAATAGACTTTAAAAAAGTAAACATTAACAAAACATTGCCAGGCAGAGGGGAAACATTCTAATTAGAAAAGAAGCATGAGAGAGCTGGAAGTTTTGGGAAGAATATTAATAAATGCATATATCAAATTATCTTAATTAATAGAACACTTGAAAGTGTAGTAGGAGACTAATACGAGTGCATAAGGAAGTCTTTAGACTGATTATCAAAAAGCAATCATTCAAAATACAATGAAAAGAAGTAAACCTAAAGAATAAATCAGAAATTATTTAGGGTCATAGGGATAAAACAAGTGAAACTAGAGATGCAAAAATGACAACAAAAAGGAGGTAAACCCCTTAATATTAAGGGTTAAATTAAATTTAACCTTAAATTTCTGTCTAGAATTTCCTAACTAGCAGAGGTGGTCAGGTATTTGATATAATTAACAGGAGATGCTACAGACCTGAATTAGGAATGGGCAGTTTGGAGAACATTTACATTAACATAAGGAAATTTATCTTTTACATATGCCTTCAAGTTATCAGAGCATGGTAAAATTTACCCTGTAGTTCTTAAGAAAAATAAAAACAATTTATGAACCATCTTTTAGAACTCAAGGAAAACAATAACAGTGAAAATTCCAGGGATTTAGAAAAAGAAAAAAGGAAGCATATACCTATTATTATAAAGCTAGAGAAAAAAGGAAGGGAGATTTATAGAATATTCAACATAATTTTAGTACCCAGAAAGAAAATGAAACATGACGTAGAGCAATTAATTTTTAATTGTCTTGTAAATAATGAGCAGATGTTGGACAGGCAATGGATTTGTCAAAATAGGTTCCACCAAGCTTTTACAATATTTTCCTTGACAGGGCAGGTATCAGTGGTGGTGGGGAAGCAGAAATGATACAGCTTGACTTTGGTAAAATCTTTGCAATGGTCACCTGGGGGGTTCTCAGAAACAAAACAAGGGAAATGCAAATTAAACCACTGTAAGGTGGAAAGTTAGATTTTATTAGTTTTCCTGAATTAACTTGACCACACGTGTTACCACAATGACTTCCACTGGGTGTGGAAGCCTCTTCCACCCGTTCTGACTTTGCAGAGCTGGCTATAATTTAGTCCTTAATTTACATTGCTACACGTGACCATTATCTGCTCTTTCAAAATGGAAATAGCTATCAAACTACTTTATGAATTGCTTGCTTGTCGACTGCATTTTTACATCAGTGCTCACTTTTGATTAGACAAGCAAGAAAAAACATCTTAAACTAATAAGATGCTATTACTTACAGCTTCTCCATGCATATGTGGCCATTTAATGCAGTAAAGTTTTTGAAAATTGAGTTGAAAACTGTATTATTCTCCAGTTAAGGTTATTGAGCTCCATGACAAACAACCTCCAGTCCTTCTTATCTATCATTTCCTGTACAACGAAGGATATTCTTATCCCAATAGCAAAAGAATTACAAGTAAAATTCAGGCAAAGGCACGGACCTGTATCTGGAGTTAAAGCTTGCAAATGCATCAGATAGAGAATGATTCATTTATTATGCACAGAGACATTGGCTATGAATTTTAGATTCAGAAGCAAATCAATACTTCTGGGGAAAAATTAAACATTGGTTTCATAGTTTGAGCCGTGGCCTTGAAAACAGTTATGCATATGCTTAGACTGAAAAATGTGAGCCATTAACACTTCTGGGCCTAACTACATGAATTAATTAGGCACCTGCATAAATGTTGACAGAATCAGGTCCCAAGTTAATAGCAACACTTCTAATTTACTGACTTTGTCATTCCAACAAATAAAGATTTTAAAGCTTTTCTGTGGATGAGTTTTTGATGGCAGAGAAAGTAAGATCGCTGCCAACAAAATGTAGGTTGAATGGTTGCTGGAGAAAAACTGGGAATCAGCAAAGTTAAAATTACTTCCATTTTATCAGTTGATTAATTCTTTTAAATTATATAATTTTTGCTATCAGCATAATACAAAACTAGCACAACAATTCATGCCTTGATAAAACTTGTATTTTTTGGTGAACCAATGTGTTCCACAAAGAAAATATTTTCTCTAAAGCTCTTCTTGTTTTTCTCCCACTCAGCCATATCTCCTACATATTAAAATTATCAAGTAATTATCTGTTTTCTAAAAATATATTCCCTATTGCCCTTTTCTTGTATGGCAATCAGTTTGTACTGCAATTTTCGTACTTAAAAACATGGTTGCAAATTTTGTTTAGTGGTATGGGAACAATAAGATCACTGACAGGGAAATGTTAGGTTATGTAATAAAATTATTGAGATAAAAAATTAAAAATGTTTGGGCGTTACTGTTCACAGCATTAGAACAAAAAAGTTTCATTAATATGCAAGATTAAATGATTGCCTCGCTAATTTACTGCACTTTTACGGCCTTATTATTTAGGAACTTGAATTCTTGAGAATCTTAAGTAGATGTGAATGTTCAGAAATATAGAAAGGGATAATTAAGACACAAAAAAAAGCAATAAAGGTCAAGGACCCTCCAGGTGCATGAGTTTCTAATTCTTAGTAGCATCGATGGGAGTCAGGAAACCTGGCCTGCTTTTGTCCTAGTTCATACACCTGAAAGTTATAAATCTGCTTCCCTTTACAAAGCAGAAAGGAAGAGATGTTTCCATGAGACAATTAATCACACCCACTTTAAGAAAGCAGTTAAAGCTCAACTGGATCAAATTTTGGCATTCCTCTGCCCACTGAGTAGAGAGGGAGGTCAGGTGTTTGGCTTAGAGCAGATGTCTGCTTTGCACAACCAAGTTTAGGCATAAATAATCCCATTCATGCACCAAATCCTAGAACAGTTTTGGCTCTTAACCAGGAGGGTTCTGGCTGAGCAAGACATTGCTCCTTTCCATCCGAATCTCACTGGAACTGAAGGGTTCCCAGAGGTCTCATCTTTGGGGTATTTTTCTGGCCAGAAGACTATTTCTGAATGGCATCAGCAGAGCTGTTTCTTAGAGCTTCATTTTAAAGAGACAAGCAGCTGCTCCACTCTCTCTAGTACCCAGGAATTTGGATCCAAAGACTGGGGGTTGTTCCCTAGAGCCAGACTGTCCCCAGACAAATCAGAGAAGTGACTGATCTCCTACACTCTGCTGTGTCCATCTCTGTCCTCTGGCTAGCTCCTGTTAGCTCTGTATTCATTTAAGCATTTGTAGTTGTCCTTCAGAAATTTGATTTTCCCCTACTCCATGTTCATAAGGTGCCAATCACCCGATCAAAGCAGCCCTTAAATGGCTGTAAAAATCTGGTCTGATTTGGGTAAGATTATTCAAGAAGGACATGGCAGTCTAA